GCCATTTAACTGACCTGACAGGTCTTGCTGGTCAATATAAACTAGTTCTCCTTCACTGTGCTTAAAAAACTTCAGATAGTTGTGCCCTGTGTTACACTCTTATGTCCCAGCAAATAATCTGTGCCTCCCAAACGTCTCTATTTTGTTTTCTGCCTATGTCAGGTCTCTCTAGAAGGACAGAATCTGGGCTTTTTGGCCATTGGTAACACAAAAAATGTCTGTCCGTATTGTGAAAGCAGTGATATTAATTGGCTGTCTCACAACTTATCAGCTGTTCTCAAGTGAGGGAAGTATAGTGAGCTGATCTGTTAGCATTTGACCTGTCCCGGTCAGCCTTGAAACCGGGTCACAGCACTGTGAAGTGTGTCAGCATGGAATGGACAACTTCATGGCACACAGTAGCGGTAAAACAAATGAAGGTGCTATTTCATCACTCAGCTGCTTTTGACAGAACAAAGTGCAAGTTGCTTCCAACTCTGAAATGACTATTCCTTTCCTACCGTTATTGAAATGTTACAACAGTCAATTCATGATCCAATAAACTCCTATTACAAGCATTTAATTTTTTCCAGGCAGATGCCCATCACCAATGTTGCTGTACAACTTTGTATAATGATCAAGGGGTGCCATGAATAAACACAAGTTATTCTATCAGTAATTGATGGCATGAGATGCTACATTTTCTGTTGAGGCTATGCAGGCTGGTCTTGAAAGCATAGTTTCAAGTGTAAGAAATAGGTGACTTTAAAACTAGAGCAAAAGTAATCTTGGAGTAAATGGATACAATCTGAATTAGAGGTGAGAAATTCCTAAGCAACTGGTGATTGAAGTTTCCTCACTATCTATCTTCTGTCCGGTAAAGCATTCCACAGGCTGAAATCATGTTAGAGCTCTCAACGACATTGGATATTAGGAACAGTGTCAGACACCTTTGTTGAGCCTAACGTTAGATTCCTGCATATCCATAGAACAGGGGTAGAGAATGCGGTTCTCCAGTTGTTGCTGGACTACAGCTCCAATTAACCCTAAGCAATACCGTCAGAGGTGAGTGGTGATATTAGTTGTAATCCAACACCATCCGGAGGGCCACATTTTTCTCATTACTATCACAGAACATTTTGACTAGTTTAGCTTAGAAAGAAGTAGGTAATAGGAGATATGATAGAAATACGCATGCTGTGGAGGAAGTTAATAGTTCTGGCTTAATACTAGAACCTAGGGTCATCCAATTAATGGATGGGAAATTTGGTACAAATGAAATAAAACACTTCTTCACACAGCCAGCACATAAACTGTGGAATTCATTAGCACATGATGTTGTGATGTCCACCAGTTCCTCTGGCTTTAAACAGGGAGTAAAACTCATGGATTACAAGGCTGTCAATGGCTCCTAGTCGTGGCAGCATGGCTATATGTCAGTTGCTTGGAATATGAGTGGAAGGGTGCTCTTCTGATTTCTCTTAGGCCTCTGGTTGGCTATTGTACTAGATTAGATAGGCTTTTGGTTTGATCTAGCATGGCTTTTCTTATAGTTATAGTGGACTTTCTTATAGTTTGTGGACTTACAGTTTGCCCGAGTGATTCAGTGTTGACTTTGTAGATGACAATGTGACTGGGTTCACATGACACAAGAAGGCAAGCACTGATCATGTTGTCCTTACTGAGTTGTGGTGATTTACCATAGGGAAATTATGTATGAGTTCCTGGAAGCCAGTTTTAGATTGCTAGGTAGAAAGTTGAAATCCAGCACCTGCAAGGTGGCTTTCTCCAAGGTGCTAGGGGTTCAGTGTGCAGGGCCAGCTTTACATGTGCACCTGAGCAGCCTTAATGTGTGGATGAGATAGTAGTATAGAGAGGAAGGTTTCAGTTTGCTAGGCACTGGGGAACATACTGGGACGAGCTGGGCTTGTACAGGTGGAACTCCACTTGAACCAGAATGGAACCAGGCTGCTGACATGTAATATGAAGAAAGTAGTTGAGCAACTTTTATACTGAACTCCAGCGGGAAAGATGACAGGAGCTGGGAAGCATCTTATTTGGTCAAATCAACCCAGTGGGTGAAGTGGAGGGATTTTCAAATTGCCGAAGTGTAAGGAAGAGAGGAAATTGGCACTAAGATTACAGAAAGCCATGATACTCGGAGAGGATGAAGTGCCAGGACAACAAATGCATGCAGAAGGAAGGGGAGACTCAGCTTAGGTGAGACTGTTCAACTTAGTAAAATGGTGAGTAATGGAGAACATGATAGAAGTGTGTAAAGCAATGCATGGTGTGGAGAAAGTGGAGAGGAAGACATTTTTCTCCTTCTCCTGTAACATTCAAACCCAGTGTCATCCCATAAAGCTGCTTGGTGGGAGGTTTAGGGCAGAAAAAAGGAAGTACTTCTCCACACAACATAATAAACTATGGAATTTGCTACCACAGGATTGGACAGAGTCATGAGGAAGGACATTATCAGTGTCTACTAGTCTCCTTGGCTATGTGCTACCTCCTTTCCCGGGGGTGGTGTGTCTGTATACACCAGTTGCTGAGGAGCTTGGACAGGTGAAGGTCTTGCACCCATCCTGCTTGAGCAAGCTTGTGGGCAGCTGCTTTGCCACCGTGTGTACAGAGTGCTGGACTAGATGGACCTTCAGCCTGGAAAATCCAGCCTGGCTTTTCTTGTGTTCTTACCATTGTGATTTACCATGGTTGAGAACCATGATAAGAAACAACAGTCTATTCTAGAGTTTCTTCCTACCATCAGTGCTTATTGTTCATCTGAATTTGGACAACACAGATCATTGTGAGGAAATACCCAGAAAAGGAGAGCTACTTGGCTATAGCTGTCATTAATGTTCTTGCCAAGATGCTAGCCAGAGAGTGCTGCTGACAACGGCACAGCTCTTGGCAGCACAACTCGGCTGATTGCTCCTCCTCGTGTCTGAAATAAAAAATACATACCCAGAGAGCTTCAGCTCATGGACAGCATAGAAATGAAATGAAAGAAATAAGAACTCCCCAGAGAGCTTCAGTTGTTGGACAGTATAGAAATGAAATAAATAATAATAAGCAGTTTCATTGACAGTGGAACTCATTTATTTATTTGATTTCTGTGCTGTCCTTAGCTGAAGCTCTCTTGATGATTCACAACAGTCCATAAAACTATACAATAAAATACCATAAAATGTTTCCAAAATACATAACATTACAAAGCAAAGTAAAATGGTGAGCTGATGTATGAGAAACTGTTTACTGAAATTTCATTGATTTCACTGGATCTTAAGCATACTCTGTTTTTGCCCCCCAGAGTTGATAGTAATGTCATCATAATAAGAAATAAATCTATATATACACACTGGCTTCTTTGTGGTTAGCAGAGCTATATTAGAAAATGTCCTGTAATAGGATAGGGTTGAGCTGTCTGTAGAGCATTTTTCCCTTTAAAACTCATCATGGCAGCTATAATTGACAAAGCTCACATATATACACAAATACTTTAATGAGAGAATCATTATCAGCAGTAGATGCAAAGCAATGGCATTCCTCTCTGGAAATAATCAGACACAAGCGTCAGAGCTGTGTCACCTCTCTCCTTTCTGTTTGTACTGTGCCTCAAACAAAAAGGCTTTTCAGCCTAGACACTGGTGCAAAATAAGCATTGTGATATAGAACAAATGATATTTTATGTATTTATCACCTCCTATCGCCTAAAAAACAGCCATAAGATAGATCATTCATACCCACTCTAAAATTAACTTTCATGAATAATGAAACACTCTCCTGAAGCAGTAATATCATGTATAACAGCCATCCTCAACCTGGTGCTTTCCACATTTTGGGCATCGGCTCCCATCATCCCAAGCCATTTGCCATGTTGGGTGGGATTGATTGGAGTTGTGTTCAAAGTGTCTGGAAGATATGAAGTTGGGGAAGATTGCAGTAAGCAATCAGGAATCAGTCAGGAATAAATGATAGTCCAGAAGAAGTTGTTAAGCTTACTTGGAAAGCTCAGAGCTTCTCCTTTGTTTACATTTCCCATCCTTCTCAGCACCTTTGTATGTTAATTGTTTTAAACTATCAATATTCATGGGAATCTTGAACCAGATCCTAGTTCAGTTTCCAGAATCAAACTTGTCATTCAGAGCAGACCACCTCGCTTACAAATTGTGTGTGTGTGTGTGTGTGTGTGTAGAGAAAAAGAGAGAGAGAAAGAAAGCCATGGTCAAGCTTCCTTGAAGAGCAACCTTTGACATCTCTTTTAAGTGAAGGAGAGCTTCAAAAGGAAATGGTCACTTCACCTCAATACCAAAGTATTTTTCAGCAATAAAGACTATTCCAAGCATGCAGCAGGAGAAAGGTGTTCTTATAGTCTTTTGTGTCTGTTTCTTGAATGAAAGAGAACAAGGCTTTAAAATGCAGAGGGGAAGCATAACAGAGGGGAACAAAACCTGATGTCAGCCAAGAAGCATTTTTCAGGATAGCTATTAATTAAAAACTTATTGCAATTAAAGAAGTTTTGAGAAAGGAAGAGTTTAAAGATAGAGAGACTTTCATATTTGATTTATGTTTTCTTCTACTATTTGTATGATTTGCTATCGATCTGCGTACCACTTTACAGAGTATCATGACAAACAAGACACATCTATAGAGTTTATTATAGGAATGCATGTGTGTGAAAGACAGAAGAAAATATTTCTTCAGAGAATATGATTATTTTCATTCTTAAAACTTTTTACAGACAATATTTGTAGTTTTATAAATATTTCAGTAGAAAAAGAAAAAACATATACCTTGACTTTAGTAATTTTTTATTCATATGCTTTGTGAAAGTATGCATGTCTATATTATCATTTGGCACTATTCTTGAATAAACTATAAAACTAATATAAAACTTACATAAAAGTAGTATATACTACTTTTAAGTATCAATTTAAGTGTTAACTTGGTATTTTAAATAGGTGAACCATTAAGCGATGTTCTTACGTTTTGTTCTATTTTGTCCATTGAACTGTTTGTAGCGGAAAATTACAAGGAAACCCAGACAATAAAGATTAAAGAAGAGCCAATGGAAGTGGATATTCATGATTCCCAAGCATCAGTTTCACCCAGCCAAAACATCAGTTATAGCACTTTACTCAGGCAAGAGATAACTGAACACATACAAAAGATACCAGAAGGCCGAGTGCTCCCCGAGAGAAACCTCTTCAGTCAAGATATATCAGTGAAGATGGCTTCAGAGCTACTTTTTCAATTGTCAGGTAAATAAAGTGGTGGGAAGCTGCCAGTATATTTTTCTGGTTTTGTAATATTTTGAATATGTAAGTGTTGAATTAAGATTGCAATTCTGAGTGCCCTTACCAGGGCCTTATGGCTGAAATCCTATGCATAGTTACTTGGGCGTGAGTCTGTCCCACTGAACCCATTGGGGCTTAATTCAGGATAGTCAGGTACAGGGATGCAATGCAAGTCTTGTAAAACCCAGAAGACATTTCTGAATAAATTTGCCTTGGATGACACTAAAAGTCTGGAAAAATAACCTTGCTAGTATGGTAGCAGCAAAAAGTCAAAACTACTATTGCACATTAGAGATTAATTAGAAACCTTGGGTGCAATCCTATTAACTGACGTAGGAGTAAGCTCTGTTGCATCTGGGCTGTAACTTTAATTTGAATCTGTGCTAGAGGCACCATCTATGTGGTGCTGGTTTATCCCATACCTTTCTGGGGAGGGACATAGCTCAGTGGCAGAGGACACACCTTATGTGAAGAAGGATCCAGGTTCAATCCCCAGGTAGGGCTGGGTAGGGATCCAGCTAGGACTAGGAAAGGATCCTCTCTGAAACTTAAGAGAGCCACTACCAGTCAGTGTCAGCTATACCAGACTGGATGAACAAAAGCTCTGCCTTGAGAGTGGGTTATTATGTTGTTTGAGTCCAACCATTATAAAGCAGTTTCCTATGTCCACACTATTCCTCTTTTAAACAACACAAATGAGCAGCATACACTGGCTCATCCTGCCATGCTGAACCTGTGGTCCCCTGTGGGAAAAATACACATGGCCATAGAAACTCTTTCTCCTTGTTTCCTCAATTTTGAAGAAGGAAGTGTTAAGTTACAACATTTGAATGTGATTTGGAGAGCTTAAAATTGTGCTCTAGAAACATCACGAAATCTGCATCCCTGTTCTGCAAACTTCTGCTTCTGTGATGTTGGATTTCAGTCTTAAGAATTCATTTGTTCTAACTCCAAGACATCTTACGCCCAATTTCCAAGCTAGCTATAACATATAAGTGGATCCGTAATATCAAAGGACAATATCTAGAGATTGCTTTTCAAGCCAGTAATGCACCAAAAGAAGAGTCTGCCCCACCCTCCATCAAAAATAGAATTTTCAGAGGGAAACTTCAAAATGGCAAGCAGTGATACATGTTTTATAATTTAAATGAAAATTTGGATGAACTTACTCAACTATCAGTTTCCTTAGTGAAAATTGCCAAACTAAAATGTTCATAATAGGAAGCCTTCTTGGTCCTTATGTTAAAAAAATAATAATGTATTTTTTCTGCAGAAAAAGTGAGCAAAGAGCACAACAACTCTAAAGATAACACCGTCACAGCTACATCTAGGTAAGTGTATCTATCCCCAGTAGTGCTAAGTAGAGCAAGATAAAGCACAGTATAAAGTGTTATAAAGACTCAGCATTAGTGTACTGTGGATTTTATTTCAGACTTTAAAATGCTACCATCTGTTAAATAAAAACTCATATATGGTATGATCAAGCTAAATTTAAGCACTTCTAAATCTCATTGATGTCAAGAGTTTATACTTAAATATTTTCCATTCAAATCAGTGAGACTTAAAATTGTTTAACATTGTCTGGCTCATGCCTGCTGTGTTTATGTGACCGGCTGATGAATTGCAGTTCAATGTAAGATCAAAAATTCAATCAATAAGCTCATATAATTAAGCAAACTAAGGAAATAAACCAAGAGGACCGATATTGATACATTCATTGTGTGGTTATAAATAATTGGATTATAATGCAACAAAAAATTAAATCTGTAGCACTGTAGTCACAATAGATATGATTCTGATAGTAACAGTTGGCAACACATGGCCCATGGCGCACACAGACTTCCATTGACTCATTTTGTAGTCCCTGCTGCTGTAACATCACCAAATTTGCCACCAGATTCTAGTTTTTCTTTAAACAAGATACACAGAGAGTACATGCCTTACTCTAAGGCAAAGCTGTACTCTCAGAAATGTCCAGGGAGAACAATTTTGCATTAAAATAAGGCAAGTGATTATCCTGCACCTTAATTTAGAGGAAAATTGGTGTTTTTTCCCCACTGTGGAGCTGATGAATTTCAGCAACACATTGCAGTGCCATTCTGGGTATTATGTGGAAATTGACCCTAGAATAACGGAGGTTGCCAGCCCCATCCTTGATTCAGCAAAACCTGGAAAAGGAAAATCTGTGGCCTGTTTCAGGGCATCAGCTTCTTAGATTCCTTAAGCAAGTTTATTACTATATATATGAGCATATAAGGCAACTTGTGTATAAGAGGCAGTCAATATTTTAGGCTGTTTTTCTGGTGTTTGTCATGTCAGACATGTAAAACGACCCCCTGTTTTGCTTTGCTATTTTTGGTTTCAAGGGATAGCTTATATACTAATATATATGGTAATGTGTGGAACAATCAACAAGGAAATATGCTTCAGAAAAATACTGTATGTATTGGCATATAAGATGAAGATAATATTTTGGGCTGTTTATATATGTCAGGAGTATAAGGCAACCCCTGATTTTTGCTTTGCTATTTTCTATTTCATGGGGCATCTTATACGCTGGTATATATAGTAAACAAAGTAGGATTGTGTCTCTCAGAGACTGCTGGATAGTCTGTGAGGCAGATGCTTGTACAATCCAGGAACAAGGCACTTTAAATGGTGTTCTCTCTAAACATGTATAAAAACAGTGATGACTAGGAGATTTCTCCAGAATGCAAAATAGAAAGAGGGTAACATAGATTTTCATCTGCAAAAAGCGCGGAAACATAAGAGGACTCCTTCTCTGGAGCCTGGAAAGTGTCCAGCTTTCGTAGCACAAGTGAGTTTGCTGCCAAATGAAGACATAGTCCTCTTCCTATTTGTAGGCAACCAATTATTGCTAATGGAAGAATTCGCATACTATAGTGTGAAAACAGCAGAAGCAGCAAAGGCACATTATATCATGGCACAGATTATTTTGTCCAGTCAGCTAGCCCCTTAATAATAGAAAACTATAGGGTCTGAATTTCCAGAATTTCTAATTTTCCCTGATCTTTAAAAATAGGATTCAGATGGATACAAATCATGAAAGCAAATCTGTCTGTTGAACATTCCAGGAAAGTATATATAGCTGAGCTGAGAAAATAATCCATTTATGTTCAAATTTCATTGTATAATCCTTCCCAGCCATATTTCTATCATTTTAGCTCATCATTCAAGGTATAGTTGGTGCAAATACTCTCACACAAAACCACCATGCAGGTTTTAAGTTGTACCTGATGGCTAGACCCTGAATTGAAGCCTTATGTACAAATTAGATGAATAATTAAAGTGTATTTTTTAAAAGGCACATAAGCTTCTGAAATTCCTTCCTGTCACTAACTAAATGGTTTCTCTGAAAAACAAAGAGAATGTGTTGGTTCAGCCTAAGCTAAGGAAAAAAACTGTGACAAGATCACTTGCTTCAAAAGGTTTCTAAATGATAATACATTTTCCTGAGATATAACAGTCTGTCATTAAGGGCTACGTTGGAAGGAAGGGAAAAACATTGTCCTCCATACAGAAAATTATATGGACAGGATGTGTCAGTTGTCATGCTGACATTTAGTGTATCCACACCAACTAGCTCAGACCTGCTGCTGGCACACGTGTCTGAAGCCTGAGCTCTTTGCAATGTGGCACTCCATAAAACCTGATATAGTATGCCATGTCCTGGAATTCCTTTGCTGGAACGTCAGTCGGCTTCAGGATCACGCATGTCTCCTTAAAATGTCTTTGCTAATGCTGTATGGCTAGTGTTTATTCAAAAGTAGTTGGAAAAATGTGAAAGCTGTTAAATGTGTTTGTGTGTGTGCATGCACCATTTGGTTTTATTAATCATTGGGTCAGATTCAGATTTAATTATACTTAGAATAAGACCTACTGAAATCAATGGACCTTATTTTAGTTATAGGGTTTGACTTTTATCCAGCCCTCCATCTCTTTTTCCAGAGTATCTGCAAAAAAATTCAAGGATTTTGGTTTGGGTGCATAGCTTGATGTACCCAATTCCTGCTTGATACACCCAGTTCCTGTAGAATTCACTAGTAATGATTTAAAGTCATTTTGCAAGGTAATTGAAAATGTGATCCAAAGGGTGCAATAGAAATCAGAACTCACTGTAGAGTTGTATTAAGATCTGTCTTCTGTGGGCAGAAAGAAAGCAATCACATAAGGTGTTTCTGCTGAGTTTTCCAGGATTCCCCTTCTCTCTGTACCAGAGCCTATACCCTTCAGCAGGGACCTCTCCAATTTTCTGTATAGCATGAGGACTTCAGTTTTCCAGTTGCGTGTACCTAATTCTGGATCCAGTCCCCTAGTTTCTAAAGTGTCTTAATCTTTTCTAGACAGTACCCCTCTGAGCTATGGAATTCTAATCAAAAGCACCACACATATTTAACTATGCATTATTATGATTCTTTTCTTAATTATTATATTGTCTTCTTTAAAAAAAATTTCTCCGTAGCCCTTTTTTTTCTGAAGATACATTTAGACAATCACCATTCACTTCCAACGCAAAAGATGTCCTGTGTAATGAAACTGCTGTTCATGGAAGAACAACAGTGCCAGGTATGGAACATTATGCCTTTAGTAACAATAAGGTTTTAATATTGAAAAATGAGTTTTAGTCACTTTTGATACATTGCATGGAAACAGCTTGCTTCTTGAAATGAAATACATAATTCACAACTAATTAAATGCATTTAACTGAGGATGAATTAATTTTATTTGGAATTAACTGAATTCTTCAACTAATATAAGTTAGAAAATAAAAGGGAATAATTGTCATGTCATGTGTTGCAGAAAATGGTAGTGCACATCAATATAGTTTTTTATGGTTAACAAGGCATTGGAACTAGAAAAATATGGTGAAAAGGAATAAAAATACAGTGAAGGGGGCTATTGATTAGAAATTCCATGGTTCCTAATACTTGGGGAAGAATGTTCGTGTGTGATATTTGCTTTATCTGTCAGACTCATTGGATTTCTTTTTTACCTACACAAACCCAGTTGCAGTTTGGTCCCGATCATGTGGTTGGCCACATTCACACATTACACTAAACCATAGCTTATTGCAACATCCACAAGCAGAATAAAGCTACAGTGAGTATTGGGCTTTTATCCTCTCCCACATCTCCCATGTACTTGGGAAGAGTTTAGGAGCTCTTTCCATTGTTAGTTAATTAAGGTTTGTTGCATCATATTGTATCATGCAACAAATTGTGGTTAGCAGCACTGTTTATGATTTATTTCAGAGAAGCCAGTTTTGAACGATGGCTTCTGAAGTTAGCTTCTTTAAACTGACCATAGTATGTGCTGGCCACAATTCCAGACCTGGACAACACAAACTATGGTTAACTAACATTGCTTCTATGCAAATCTTTAATGGTGCCATTATCCTGTATCATCCATGGAATTTTATGGGGGATGGGCTCAACATGTCTCCATTGTTTTCCACCACTTTTTTCGCTTTTTTGTTTATCACAGGAAATCTATTAAAAAGGAAAAGATGCACAATGCCTTATGAATGCTATATCTGGGAGCCTTCTGTCTCAAAGCACTCCAAAAACCTTATGTAACAGCTGTACAACCCCTCTCAATCATGCATGGGGAAATGGAAAACGTACAGGCTTAGGAAGTTGCTGTGACAGACCACACTTAACTGTGGTTTAGCATGATATGTGAATCCAACCACTGTTGACAGTATAAGGATCCTAGTTTTAGTGTTTATTATCAGTCTTAGGGCTATCCAGAAAGTACATAGTCCATACAAAGTACTTGATATGCGCAGGTGAAGTTCCAGATTTGTAAACAACATTTACTGTTTTGGCTGTATATCCAAAAATATTTTCAAAACTGGGTAACAAAATGAAAAGGGCTGGAACCAAAAAGTCTGATTGTAATTAGGATGTCCAAGGAATCCGATGGGGGTGGGTGAAAATTTGGTCCCCCCGGATTTCAGGTCATTAGTCCTGTGCTGGTACCATCTCACTGTAGGCTGCAGCATGTACATGTTTTTAATTGCTAATGAATTTTGTGCAAATAAATACCCCAGGCCATGTGGCTGTGAATTGACTGATTTGTACAAATTGACTGATACCACACAAATTGTGCTAGAACCGCGTAGTTTGGGGGTACTTATTTGCACAAATTTAACTAGCAGTTAAAAATGTGGAAATCATGGTCCATCTTAGACATGAAAATCTGTGGCTGAGAAATAAAAAGACTTGTCCCTCTTCATTGAATTGGAAATGAACAGGAAGTCCATCAGGTTCAAATTAGATGGATTTCACTGTTTTGCTACAGCCCTAGTTGTGATACTGTCTGTCTAGCAAATACGTGCCATCTGTATAGATAAGTATTTTATTACTGTAACTCACCTGTACAGTTTAGATCATTGTATCCCATTAATAGTATCTAAGGCCATGGTCATTACTGGCAAGGTTAAATCAACTAATCAGGTGGGAAGTGGTAAATGAAGCAGGCCCTTCAATATTTTGTAGTTAACTTTTTTAAATGGTGGGATCATGGAGTAAGCTAATCCATGCAATAAAATATATCTAAAAGTTAAAAATACCTAATAGTCTAGCAAGACCCTGTCAGATGCCCTCTCTCCATCAAAGGCAAGTCTAGCTAGAATCTCTAGCCTTTTTAGAATCTCTTGTGGCAACTAAAATATTGATTGACTGACTGCAGCCCTGCCTGATCTTTCTAATATTAAAGAAGTCAGGTTGCAATCACCATTTACAATTTATCTAGCCAACAAAACCTATGATTGGAATCCTGCCAGGATATCTAAGATGCTTTTAGAACCTGACACAAACTTCAGCAGAAAATGTGGCAAGGGCAAATTCTAGGTTCACACATTGGTTGTTTGATTGTCTTGGAAATCAGAAGAAGTAGCACTGGTGTATGGGGGAGTAAATACATACAGACAGAGAGTTGGTGGCTCATTTGCTGTTTTTGACAATCACCAAGAGACCAACTATTTTTAAAACTAAATGCTATGAGCAGCACAAACAAGTGAAAGCAAAGCTGAGGTTGTCAGCATGGTTCTTTCCTGCTTGCAAATATTCTTTCTTTGGAACCTGGCTCTTATCTTTTTGGGAAGGAATTCACACATGGTTTGGGATAGTTGTAAATTTAGTTCTGCAGCTATACAAATAGACAGATCTTCTAAACTACATATCCAAGGGCTCCACCATGTGTCAAAGCAGGCAGGTCAGGGCAGGGTTCTGTAGAGCTATGCAAGTAGCACAAAGGCTAGTATGAATGAAGTGCAAGCTCAGATAACCATCTGTTGGAAGGCAGGAATATCTGCATTCTGAACATCATGGTAGTTTGTGTGGTAAATTGCAAGATGTCAACTTGCAGTATCTGAATTGCAATCTGAAACCTAATCCTAACTCTTTATGTAAATAAAAACAACATATAAATGACTTGAGGCAGGTCAGTGAAAGGTGTTCTCCAGCTCCTCCTTGCCCAGGCACTACCCTACCGAGTTCCACCCAGCTGGCCCACTGAGCCCATGAAAGGAAAACCAGATGAGGACATAGTATGATGTTAACAGTACTGAAAGAGCCTGAGCTTCTGCCTGATGGTACTGTGGGTTTGTCCGTGTTTTGAATATTGTATATATGAAAGTTAGGAAATGAGTTATCTTTCCTAGTCAGTGCATTTGTCTGAATAGAAATACAACAACTGAGCTAGTAGTCTTGTTCCCTTGACTGACATCAGGGAGAGGTCAAAGTGTGCTTCCTTGCCAGTTTTGTAGATCTTAGGGCACCTGGGGTGGCTTGATCAGAGTGTTGGGGCCCAGAGTCCTTGTAAGAACATGAAAGTGGTGGCAGCTGCAAATGTAAGAACATAATAAAAGCCGGACCAAATGCCCATCTAGTCCAGATTCCCCTCACATGTCAGCCTACCCCACTTTCCATGGCAGCAAAATCCATTGTTTAATGATATGTTGTGTGAAGAAGTATTTTCTTTAATCCTCACTAACCTCCCACCTAGCAACTTCATGGGATGACACTGAGTTCAAGTGTTATGGGAGAAGGAGAAAAGTGGGTTCCTCTCCACACCATGCATTATTTTAAACACCTCTATCATGTCTCCCCTTACTTGCCTTTGTTTCTGAACAATCTCAATTATTGTAGCCACTTCTCATAGAGGAATTACTCCAGTCCCTGATCTCTTTTGTTGCTTTTCTCTTTCCAACTCAATAATGTCCTTTTTCAAGTAAGGTTACTAGAACTGAACACATTATTCTAACTTTGGTCATACCAAAGATTTCTACAAGGGGAATAAGTTCCTTGAGAGTTCTATTTTTTATCCCATTCTTCATTATGCCTACCAGGGAATTTGCCTTTTTGCAGTAGACCTGCACTGGGCTGACAATTTCATTAAGCTGTCCACCACTACCCCAAGATTCCTTTCTTGCTTGGTCACTGCTAGCTCAGATCCCCTCACATATATGGAAAGCTGGGATGTTTTGCTCCAATGTGCATTACATTACACCTATTTACATTGAACAACATTTGCCCTTTTGATACCCATTCTCCCACCTTGGAGAGATCCTTTTGAGGCTTCTTACAATCCCTTTTGGTATTAACCATTCTAAAAAGTTTGGTGTCATCAGCAAACTTGGCTGCTTCACTATTTACTCCTAACTCCAGATCATTTATGAATAGGTTAAAAAGCATTGGTCCTGATGCAGAACCCTTTAGGACTCCACTGGTTACATCTCTCTATTGGGAGACATTGCTATTTATTCCCACCATATGTCTTCTGTACTTTCTTTCATTCATTCATTCATTCATTCATTTTTCGATTTATATCCTGCCTTTTTCCTACAAGGGCTCAAGGCAGCTTACATCTCCTCCTCCATCTTATCCCCACAACAACAACCCTGTGAGGTAGGTTGGGCTGAGAGTCTGTGGCTGGCCCAAAGTCACCCAGTTGGCTCCATGGCAGAGCGGGGACTAGAACCCAGATCACCTGAGTCGCAGTCCCATGCTCTTAACCACTACACCACACTGGCTCTCACCACACTTTAACCAGTTAGTGATCCACAAAAGGATCCCCTCTCACTTTTATTGTATGACTGCTTAGTTTGCTGAGAAGCCTTTGGTGAGGCACTTTGTAAAAAGGCTTTGGGAATTCCAAGGAGAAAATGTCTACTGGATTGCCCGTCTATGTGCTTATTGACACACTCAAAGAACTCCAGCATGTGGGTAGCTGAAGTGCGTTTCTATTACAATACTGCCTTTGTTGGAGGCTTCTCTGATTTCATTTCTCATCTCAAGATCACCCTGAGCATTCTGGTATGGAGGATGATAACATACTCCTATGACTAAGTTAATTTTGGAGCCAGGAATGTTCACCCATTGCTTCTGTGGAGCAATCTTCACACTTTAGATTATCAAGTATGTTGGACCCTGTGCCTTCTTTAACATGGAGAGCAACACCTCCTCTGGCTTGCCCTTCCCTGTAATTCCTATGCAGTTTATTTCCAGGGATGACTGTATCCCATTGGATATATCTGTTCCACCAGGTTTCCATAATGTCCA